GAGCCGGGGTCTGTCGAAGGTTTCTTCCGTTAAAGGGAGTTTTTCCTCCCACTGTCGCCAAGTGCTTGCTCAAGGGGGATTTGTTGGGTTTTCCCTATGTAATAATATTGATAACAGTAAGGTCTAGACCTTACTTTGTAAAGTGTCCTGAGATGACTTTTGTTGTGATTTGGCACTATACAAATAAAATTTGATTTGATTTGAACTTTGACCTGCTGGTGGTGCTGTAAAAGTCAATGAATCATCAGCATCATTTGGGTTCATCCTCTGGGACACACATAAATGTCAATACCTTTAGTGATGCTTTGGCTATTTAACATCATTATCAGGTCAGATTTTTGACTGTTCTAGTACCATTGTTTATAACCAATTATCTGCAAAACTACTGACATTCCCATCATCCTTTGCTGTGGTTTATGTTTAGTCCTATCAAATGTTAGCATGCTAACATTCAAAAACAAGATGCTTTAGGATTTAGCTTGAAGCAGTTGGGTCAGTTTTCCAGATGCTTGTTTAGGTAACATACAACTGGGTGACAACAACACTCAGGTTGGGTAAAAGGTTCAAAGAACTTTGTATGAGTTTGAAGCCATGTCTTTGGCATGCATTTGTTGCACAGAAATATAAATAATGAGTACATGCTAAAGCTGACAAATGAATACATTTGAAATTTAATTCACTGTGAAGTATCTCCATGGAGTAAAAACTGTTTTAGTTTTGTCCATAAACATGTCTTATTAGTCATTTTACAATGAGCTGGCTTGAGTGTCTACAGGCCGTGATTCATCTCAGTTGAAAAAATTCACAAAGCCTGTGAAGAACAGAAACCACCATCATGACCCTTTTGTTTCTGCACATTTATTTATGATAGTTTTAAGTATTTTGGGTAATTTTTCTTTGCCTTGTTCAATAGCTTCAATCTGCTAAGTAAGGGTTTGCTGTCCTGGAAGAAGAATCTGTTTCTGTCAAGCCCCTGGAGTGCCAGTGTAATTGGTTTTGCATATTTGGCGTGCAATACCACTTTTGATTCCAACATAAGTCAAAAAATGTACCCACAAAGTAAATGGAAGTATAACATTTTTGACATTTAGTCCCATCAGAGTATAAAAAAATTGTTTTGTTTGTTTCCTCAGAAACAACACATATTTTCATCTTGTTTAGGACTTGTTCCTAAACAACATCTTGTTCAAGGACTTATAAATGCTGCAAAGAGATATTAATCTTTGTTTATGTTTATAACAGAAGATTTTGCGACATCTATTAGATACATAGTCAAAAGTGTGAGAAAAGGGTGAAAGGAAAATAGCTTCAGCAAGCGAGGCATAAAAACTATTTCTATTTCCAATTTAATGGTCACCACATAGCATAATTTCCCCATAGATGTTCACCATTACCTTTGGGTGCCTGAGCTCCTGGGGACCCATGAAATCGACACCTGTGAACTAAAGAATGTTTTACTTCAGTATCATTACTGTCAGGGAGCTTTTTATGGTATGTGCATAAATATAGATGGTTTTGTGAACCAGTCTGCTGGCAGGTACAGCACCGGTAAGGCCCTTCTTAAAGACCTAGTTCATTTTTGTGACCATATAAATCTGCGGCATATTCATCTCCACATTTTAAGAGTTTAACATTATAGATGGGACATCAGCAGTGAGTATGTTTTCTTGTTGATAATAATTCTGAAAATATGCCTGGGGCTTAAATAGAAAAGCAAGTTTATCAGATTGGACAGCTAACTTGAAAGAATGTTTTTTTCAGGCTGAGCTGGTTCACCCTGCCCCATAGGGCATGAGGGGTCACTGAATGGTTTCATGAGTATGACAATGATGCAAATCATATGCTCTGGCCATTGCAGTCTCCAGATCTCAATCCAGTTGAGCACTTATGGGAGAGTCTGGACTGACATGCTAGACAGCATCTCTACCACCATCATCAAAACATCAAATGAGGGACCATTTTTTGGAAGAATGTGTTCATCCTTCCAGTAGAGGTCAGAGACTTATAGAGGCGCACAGAAGCTGTTCTGGTGGCACATGGTGGCCCAACACCCTACTAAGACACTTCATGTTTTTTTTTCCCTTTAATGTGTCACTCATCTGTATCTGAATGAGTAAACATTCTATGGGGTCAACACAACTAGATAAAAACTAGCTATATGAGACTGTTTATCCAGATTTGACAGGCTTAAAATTAGCAAGCAACCAAAAAGATTGAACTTCAATATTTATGCTAATCAATACATTTTAAATTGATAATGTTCAATTTTGGGTACCATTGGATCACAAACTGACTTTTAGGTATGAAATGCAAAAAACTATGAGGATAGATAAGTTGCATACCCTATTTTTCAAGTGCAATTATAATATTAAACAGATATACTGTATGTGAGACCTAAAACAAAATAAATGAAAAAGAAAGAAATCTTGAAAAACAATTTCAGATGACTCGAAGTCAAACTTAAAGTGAATGTAATATGATATATACAGTAGATTAGTAGATGGCAAAGAAGTCCTTCATGTTTCTCGTACTGATGATAAGCACTTTTTTAATCATGTTAGACAAATTACTAACATAGCAAAGGCTTTATTTAAAGTAATGCAAAATGTTTAGATTAAATGGTCCTGTGCTAAAAGGCACTGTATTTTGAATGAAACAAAAATTTGATCATTGTTAAAACAAAACACCCGATGGCTAATATGACAGTCAGAATAAAATTCCTTTCTATCTATATCAGAGATTAAAATCTCTTGGACATTCCATTTTTGTGAAGCAGCAATTCCCTCACTTCAGTCATGTAGAAAAACTATCAGGTATATGAGATGAAATAGCTTAAAAGGCAGTGATAACAAAACAAAAGTCCCACAAAAAATTTCACTTTTATCAGTCCTCAAATATGTTAAAATAAAAAAAAGTCAACTTCTGAACAAAATCTGCTAGATTTTATGTGATTCTGATCATGAAAAAAGCATTTCTACATGTGGCCTGTGGCTGGAAATAGACATTTTCTCTCAAAACATGTTTTTAAGCATGTGATGACTTGATACATGACAAGATACAATAAAGTAAAAGTTCTCATGCTGAGTATAATGTGAGAGTCATCTCTGAGTCAGCTTATTGTGATGCATTACCTGATTAGTTAACACTGACTAATAATCCATCCATCCATCATCTATACCACATATTCCTGAATAGGGACGTGGGAGGGCTGGGGCCAATCCCAGCTGACATTGGGAGAGAGGTGAGGTAAACCCTGTACAGATTGTCAGTCTATAACAGGGTTTACATGTAGACAAACAACCACACACACACACACACTCCTACGGGCAATTTACAATTGCAAGTCAACCTAAGATGCATGTTTCTGGATTGTGGGAGGAAGCCGGAGTACCCAGAGAGAACCCACGCAGGCACAGGGAGAGCATGCAAACTGTGAGGTGGCAGCGCTAACCACTGCACTGCTGTGCCGCCCACTGACTAATAATTCCATTTTTTTTAAATGCAAATCCAGTCAGTTATAATATTAATTCTCTCAGTTGTTGAGTAAAATTGTATAATCCAAAGATAATGTATGTGCATGTTTGTGTATTTGTGTGCATCATAAACACAGACATAGTGATGAGAGCATGTCTAGGAGCCTTGCATGTGTCCACATTTTCCATCTGTTTGTCTGACTCTGGCTGTTTTCAATTAGTGTAACTCCTAACAGAAACCCACAACTGGCTTTACTGGGAAAGCAATCACGCATGGGGCAAATATTTGGCTACTTCTAAAAAAAAAAATCTAAGAATTTTTAACTGAACATTGAAAATACAGCAACAGTTAATACATGTTAGCTAAACCTCCTCCACAGATAGTATTCAGAATTTATACTAACAAATATCAAAGATCTGGACATCTTGCCTCTTCATGCCTACCTGTGCCATGCTTTTAGGCCTTTATTTTAATTGGAAGAGTTATGAATGCAAAACAAAGATGCTGGCTTTCAATTTTTAAAGGGCAGTTACTGTAGTCCACACTCATCACTGTCATTGTAACTTTGTGTAGTTTTAGAATGTAAAGGTTATGATGAGGAAATAATGGAGTTAATAAAAAATGACAGCTAAGTATATAAAATAGAAAACCTCCTTGTTAATGCAGGAAAAGGCATATACAAGCAGCTAATTAAGTACCTCAAGGATACAGGGCTACTAGAGAGATTTTTTTCCTCTGCCAAACTACTGCTCCACACTCCAGCTCGGTAGGTGGCAGTACAGCACCTCTACGTTGGTTTGTGTCCGCCGATCAAAGCAGAAAGAAGAAGAAGAAGGACGAAGAAGAAGAAGAAGAAGAAGAAGAAAAAGAAGAGGAGGAAGAAGACGATTTTATTTGTGTATTAAGAGCACAAGTTAGTTTTCATTCGTTTTTATCGTGGAGGTGAAATGGCTGTTCCAGGTAAATATCTGATTTTAGACATTTAACATATATAGTTCAGCTTTTTCAGATTACTTGTTATTTGTTGGTTAAACAAAGTGGTGCTAACCTCAACGTGATGCTACCGCAAACGAATACAGAATGAACAACATCCAGCAGTTTCACATAACTTTAATCTCATGCCGGGTAAAATCGATTGTAACGTTACTGTATTGAGCTCATATGTGTGCACTTCTTCTTGAGCTGTAAGGTTACACAGGTCAGTAAGCACTGGTTGTACTGGTACTGTATGTCAGTGTTCTGGTTGCGATTCAAAAACAAGAGTATGGTAGCTAAATATTGCCTATATCCATGTTATTAATATGATAGCCTTGTTATTAGACACACAACTTATTAAAGCTGTATTATTTCACAGGTCCTAATAAAGACAGCATCAGAGCTGGATGCAAGAAATGTGGATATCGTAAGTAAAGCTTTGATTCGGAAAGAAGGACGTTTTCTGGGTGTCTGTGTTGCTATTAGTCCTTTATTAACCTGGGTAAACGTGGATTTGTCAGAGTCAAGGTATAATCCGTCTAAAAGCTTTAGCTTCTTGCTTTAGGAATTTATGCAGCTCTTACAGTATGCTGCTCTTTAATTCATAAATATTGATGGTAAATATGAGTAGTAAAATGACAAGAATATAGTTTGAGTAATAGTTTAATATGCAAACAATCAAATAGTTTTTAAATATTCTCACTTTGCCTTAATTTTATTTTTCTCTCCAGCGGGCCATTTGACCTTTGAGTGCCGAAACTTTGTCAGAGTTGACCCCCAGAAAGACATTGTTCTGGATGTAAGCAGCACCAGCAGTGAGGAGAGTGAAGATGACGTACCTGCAGCTCAGCACAATGAAAAGCTGGGGCAACGTGGCCAGCACCATGCAGGTTCGTGACTCAGCTGCACTGGTTCTTAGTTGTCAGATGTTGTTGTGAGATGTTGAGCAGATTCTATTCCAGTAAAATGTAACTTGACTGTTCTGTCTACAAATTTGGCATGTTAGGTTCTCGTGACAGTGATAGAAAAGAGAGACGCAGACGGAAGAAGAGCGGAGATAGAAAGTCAAGAAAGAGGTAACTTTGTCCTGCCTTGCAACTTGTCTGCTTTTTTTGTCAACACTGAGCCTAAATATCATTTCATATTTGTATGAGCTTCTGATAACAGAACCAGAAAGATATGTAAATATCTACAGTGTACATGAAGATATGCTCTATATTTTGTGAGTAGGTATATACAAATCAAAAGTACAGATTTATAGCTCTAAGTCGATGATTCTTTTAGATCAGCTTTATTTGCCAGGTGTGTCGGACACACGAGGAATTTGACTCTGGTACATCGGCTCTCAATGTGTATGCACATATTCCCATGCAAGGGGCAAGTTAACAATAAACCAGCATTATGCTGTGTAAGATAACAAAAATAATAACCAGTATTAACAAGCAACAAACAGTGCAAACAATGCAAAATAAGCAGTATAAACAGGCAGTAAACAATGCAGATAGACAAGGAATGCTCATTGTGAAACAGGATAAGTAGGAATAAAAAGAGAGTACTTAAAAGTAGAAACCTGTACGGGTTTGTATAATCATTTTAATATTAATAATAACAATTTTACTAATAATCAAAGAATAAATACATGTTTGTGCAGGTCTGCACACATGTTATTAAATGGTGATTTATCTTGGGCAACAAAACAAATCAGTGTTCAAAATCAGAGCTTGTTATTTTACCGGAGACCTTTGAATGCTTTACTTTTGTTTTTTTTACTCCCTAGATCTGTTTCATCATCAAGTGATAAGGAGACAACAAAGAAGAAAAAGAAACGCAGCATTTCCTACTCCTCATCTGATGAAGAGGATAGAAAGAAGAAAAAGAAACTGAAAAGCCACAAGAAGAGCAGCAAAAAGAACAAAAGGGAGCAGAGGAAGCATCACAAGAAGAAACAGAAGAGGAGGAAACACGAATCATCCTCTTCTTCTTCCAGCTCCACTGACTCCTCAGACAGTGACTGAACTGCTGTGCAGTGTGCCGACGTCCAACATATTTATTCTCCAATCCATGAAAAGTGTGTTTTGAAGACACTGTGCACATAAGGCACCCAGTCTTGTACAGTATGAATATAATCCAGGGTGGGGGTTTTGTTTTTCAGGACAGACTGTGATATCACATTTGAGAGGCCTAGATTAGAATCGGATGAGTTATAAATGCAAAACACAGGGATTCAAAACACTGGCTTGTGACATGCAGAGCAGTTGTTATATTACTACTTACATATTACATCAGGGTAAGAACTTTCCAAGTCCAGTTAAGACTAAGAAAGAACAAGTAGTTTGATGGATTCCCATAGCAGGTTTCCAGATGTGTCACAAAAAATAAAAATGAACAAACATGGAGATGTTGGCTAACATCAGTTGGCTAAAAGAGGTTTGATCTTCTCTTTTGCATAGAGGTGCTTAAATGATGTACTTTTTCTCTGATGATGGCTGTATAGTACACTGAAGCTCCTAGAGGTTCCTGCTAATACAACATGGTTGTTAGTGATGTGATTATAGCCAACAATTGCATTTTTTCACTGTCACCTTGTTGAAAACCATTAGCTGAGCATCTTAGTTAACATTTTACACTTTGTTTCCCTTTGCTTTAGTCTATCATTTTTTGCTCCTGTCCAGGTTTTTTCATAATAAACATATATTTGTATGAAATTGTTACTCAGTTTAGATATTTTAATAACTATGTAATTATAAAAGGTGATAGATCATCGTGGTAATCATGATGCAAGGTAAGGGTGCATGGTAAGGGAGATTCAGTCTTATTTCCTGTAGAGGGCAGCAACACACCTAAAGCATTTACAATGTTTCAGCTGATTGAGAGCAGTGGTGTGGCTCATGCAAATAAGAAATTGGACAATATACTGTAACTTTTTTCAATACAAGTGACAAGCTGAAAATATATTTTAAAAATCACTTGTTGAAGGTGGAAATGAAGAAAGCTGCATTAGGTTAGAGAACTGATTTCCAAAGCTATACATAAAGTTTAATGTAATTCATTTGTGTCCCTCTCATCCTTGTCATAAACTGTAGGAAAAGTCAAAGTATGCTTTTTTTTAAGCATGGTTTTAAACAAAACATCTAACACTTGTTCCACCCTAACACCATGTTAGATTCACCTGTTCGGTCGTATGAACATTACAAAAACTTGGTGCTTTTCTAAAAGATCGGCCTTGAAACAAAGCCATAATAAATCACACCCCCAGGACGTACTGTAACTCACTGTAGCTACCTTTACTCCACCTTGTGGTCATGGTGTGAACGTTCAGAGGCCTAGCTGATGTTACTGCTATCAGTGCACTGGAGACAGACTTATAGCCCTGTTTTGTTTGTTTGAATAGACAGAAACTGCTGACTCTGGCAAAAGCAATCCCACTTACTACAGTAAATGTTCTGAGGGAATTTAACAATACCCACAATAGCACTTGAACATGAAAAAGTGGGAGGCAGAGTGGTGCAGTGGTTAGCACTGTTGCCTCACTAAAGAAGGTTTCAGGGTTTGAACCTTACTGATTGAGGCCTTTCTATGTGGAGTAAACATGTTCTCTCTGTGCCTTTGTGGGTTTTCTCCAGGTCCTTCAGTTTCTCACAGTCCAAAGACCTGCAGGTTAGGTTAACTCATGATTCTAAATTGCAAAGTTCTGCTCAGTTATTTTGATTAAAATTATTTTTAATGTATTACTTTAATTTCATTTACTTCCAGTACCATCAGAATCACTCCACACCAAAACATTACACATCAAAAAAGAGCCACAGAGACCTACAAACATACAAATCAAGGACTTTTGGAAGCCCCCCCCCCCGTGCTTTGTTGAATCTGGGTGGTGTGACAGGTGTTTATATTAGCTCCATTAATGTCACTTTGCCTTGGGGAAGGGAATATTGTTTTAAACATCTGCAACATCTTGACAGCTATATGCTTGGCTGATGATCAGAGGCCAGCATTATGACAAGAAACAGAATACAGAATATCTACCTCCTTTACCTCTCAAGGGCCAATATATTTTATTTTTCCAAAAAATAAAAGAATTCGGAGCTCGCTGACAACTAGGTGAAGGTAGTCAAGCAGTCAGTGATATTTCTGGGCACTAGGAGTTTGTGATTCCTGTCATAGCCACTGAGATGATCGGTTTGCAATTTGAGACATTGTCCTCAAAAATCTTGGGTTGTTTAAGTAAAAAGAGTAAATAAATGCATTTTCCAAAAGGTTGAAATGTTCTTTTAACTTAACATATGTTTTACCTTGGATACAAAGTAAAACAGATTGACATGTTACACAGTATGATCACAGAGCAAGAACTGTGTGTAGCGAAGAGAAGCCACAGTAACGAACAGCCTACTGAGCACAAAAGATATTTTCAAACTAAATGTAGTTTTTTTTTATTTATCATTAAAATGTTGATGCTGTATAAATGTAAAGCAAAAGTAATAATTTGTATGTTTATTCTGAAATAACAGCACTATCACATGCATGCTGTACAGTAATACTGTGCCTACGCTTAATACACTTGAATTAGGATGTAGTTTAGTGTTGACAAAAGAAACTTGGAGAGTGGAAAACTTCATAATTGCCCATATGGTAAAAGGACAACTCGATACAGAAAAGGAAATGAAGTCGAAGGAGTGCTGCCATGTGTAGCCACACTGAGCACACCATATGCTGTTTGTATAAGGCAACAACAAGGTTTTCCTCTTTTCATCAGCTCATTGGTTTTTATTGAGCCTGTTGGGCTGTAAAAAAGTGGCTCGCAAATGGTTCTCAATTGAGCAATTTAAATGAAAATGAGATGGTCAAAGTCATCTTTTAGAGAGTTTAGCAGCAGAAGAATGGCAATTCAGCTTCCATGTAAACATCTCTGAGGCACTGATCTCAAACTTAGTGCAAATCCTTTTTTGCAAAATGGCTGACCAGAATGATTATACCATAGGGGTAAATGATCTCCTATTAACGCAATGTGTATTTTTCAATTTGTTTATATAACTTTAGCAGTTCAGATTCGGGCTTGTATGAGTGGCCTGGTAACCTCTGTACTGATGTCTGTTTTTACCCTTTGGGGATCTGAGCACACATGCTTCACTTTGATACAGTTACATTCATCCATCCTGGGAGCAACCCAGTATAACCACAGTCTCCCAATGAAGCCAATGTGCAGCTCTGCTGGAGATATAGCTACTGTAAATGCTTGGCCCAAAGGCACCTTGGTGGCTGCTGCTGAAGGAGCATAGAAGATATCGCATTATGCTTTAGTATTCGCCCTGAGAATTCAAACCTGCAACCTTTTGGTCATGAGCCTGCTTCTCTTAACTTTAAGGCCACCACCACTACACAGCAAAGCATATCTTCCCAGAAATAAAATAAAAATCCCTTATTCTGCACTTTGGTGGGAACAACCCAAGCTGGGAGATGGCGCCGGATTTTCGCCTGCAACCACTGTTGAAATATTATTTCAGAGGCAAGCCATCCCAGCATTGTGGAGCACGGTGAGCAGAGCCCTTGAAAAATGCATTAGGGCCATGGGGCAAGTTGCAGACATTACATTTGCTACCAATTTAGATCCTGCATCTTAAATTTCGTTCCTTTCTTCCTCTCCTGGCCCCAAAACCAGGACTAATGTAGCGAATGACCTCTAGGATAAATAGACAGCAGGCTACATGACCCTAGCCATCAGAAACGGAGGCTGTAATAAATACTAGACAGTTTTTAAGGAAGTGTGTTCAACATTCTACCAAAACCTGCAGGAAAAGAAAACGAGGGGGCGAATGGGGTGAGTCTCTGTTCACCACACTCTTTTTGGTGAAAAGATTTTTTCCTGAGGTCTGTTATTATCGGCCTAGTTCCTGGGTTCCCATTCACAGCAGAGCTTGTTCATATAAACCTTGAGGTTTTGAGGCATCACTGGACTGACTGGGTGGTTTTCACCAGGGAATTAGCACAGGGTCGCACTGGATCATCATCAGCAGAGCTTCTACGGCTAACTTGTGTTGGACCAGGCTGCTTATGAAGCCGGCAGTGGTGAGGACAAATTTCCTGGCTCTGTAATACGGGTCAGTCAGAACCCAATATGTGTAGGCCTTGATTCTGTAAATTGTGGGTCCTTCTGATGCTTCTCTACTTTCTGGATAACTTCTAAATCATTTAATTTAACCACTATTTTCCAGATTAGTCCTGATGAGACTGAAATAGTGTTTAGCCTATAAGTTGCTTATGAAAGCAGCTTGATGTACCATTTCATGTTGTTTTTTATTACCTTTTCAGCAGATTCTATCTATCCTTTTCCCAAAGTAATATTCAGTGATTATACTGAGTGATTGTGCCTGGCAAAAAATATATAAATAATATGTGGTTTTCAAACAACCCCTATGACAGTGTTACATCCTGCCCCAGCAGAGCAAATTCAACTGATCCTTTCTATGTCCCTCATATGTATGTCCTGCACATATGATGAATATGTGCCAGGCTCTCATTGTTGCTAAATGTTGACATGACCACAATGTGCTCTCAAAATAACATTTTCAGCATTTTAAGCTCAGGTGATTCACTAGCATACACAGTTGCAACATTTAGTTGAAAAATGCATGTCAGGCACAAAACCTGTTTTCATTGATAACTGATTAATTAATTAGTTAATCCCTGTACCATTTTTCTATTGCATGCACATAGACACACTCTTGACCTACTGTATGTTGTGTGCTCCTTGTTTTATGACCCAATCCATCCATCTCACAGTGATCCAGAAGGTGGCAGGAGTGGCACTGCTGACAACTCACCAGCAGAAAAATCATGGGTGAGAACATTTAACTCACCCAACAGCTTCAGCACCACAGAGCCTTTCCTCTCTGCTCCTCGAATGACGTTTGACATTTTACATGTCACCAGCATCAGATGTGGCTTTTTCAAAGACAAACAGCATGGTGTTATCTCTGTGCTGGGCACATCTGCTCACTCTTAGTCTGGTTTGTGTTCTTTCCACTCTGCATTTATGTGGAAAGCAAATTCTAGCTTTACGTTCTCACCCGAGAGCTCCACTCATCACCGAGCAAGCTAAAGCAGCCGCAGGCTTCAATGCCTTGCTTAACGGCACCCTAACAGTGGGTTTTAAGTGAGAAGAGTGTGTTACTCATTTTCCCCAGACAGTTTCCCAGCTGGTTCAGGGATAGAAACCAGAAGCCTTGTCACAATGTTTCTTCTCAAGAGCAGTTGAAGTGTTAAGTGCTTCACTCATGGCCATCTCAGCAGTAAGGAATGTTTTACAAAGTTGAAACCAGTAGCCCTTCGGCTTGTACTGGTATATTGTTGAGGCTACCGCTGTACCTGTTGCCTGAATATATAACTGATATATGTTAAGTTAGTCCCCTTTATCAGTTATACCTTTTCGGAATGGCAGTCAATCTGATTCTAGGGTTTACACACTAAAAACATTTGAACCTTTTTGTATAAAGTGATACTTGCTGTATATACAATAAGGATGCTCCCATATCTAAGGTACTTGAAGGGATCTGGGTGTGTGACAAGTTGCAGTTTAACTTGCTAACATCCCATCTTTTCCCATCCCTTATAAGAGTGCCCTCTGGTGGCGTTAGATATCAAAACCAAACATTCACCCTCTGTTAACTTAGGCTCATATGTCGCTTTCTCTGTTAATGGCAAACTGAGGGAAAACTGGGCAATGCATTCAAGAAGGTGACTTAAATGGGATGGGATAATTAAATGTAAAACAAAAAGATACTGTGTTCTGTCAGGAACTGTTTTTGGCTTTTGCAAAGTCTATTTCCGACACTATAAAAACTCTTGATGACACCAAATCATGATGCACTGTAACTATTGCTCAGGAGCAACATTCAGGAAGGGGAAAGAATATTGGGCTGAGCATTTAGCTAAAATAGAGGTCTTCACAATAACACACCACACGGAGAGGTGTTTACAGCCAGCTCTTTTTGCTCTGTCATGACCGGATCAAAGTGTTTATTCTAACTTGCAGCATCTTGTCCATAAACTTCC